ATTAGTCTGTATCACACTGCTTAATCAAATCCTAATAGCTGTGTGGCTGGTAAAAGTCTGACTCCTGCCCACCTGCAAATGTGTGTCGCTCACTCTGCATAGTGCTTTGTGCCTCAGCTTGCTGGCAGCTGAGTACGAGTTAGCAGGGAGATGTGACTCCAAGAGCTGGCAGTCCTGCAGCCCCAGCAGTGCAGTGCTGGGCTGGCAGATGCCTCAGGACATAGGTTGGTGCTGGGGAGGCTCAGGAAGGTGCAGGGAAGTAAGCAAGGTTTACACCGGGGAGTCAGTACGGAGCTGGCAAGGACCACAGGCAAATAGCACTCTGCTGATGAGAGCAGGGGTTGCAGCTTCTTTAATACTTGCCAAAGGCCTGGATGTTACATTGAACAAAACCAACTAAGATCTGCCTGTGTTCCAGAGAAAGCACCAGAAGCTGTTTGCTGGCTTCCTAAAGCTGGTGCCTTCCCATCTGGACAGGGCACGCAGGTGGTCCTGGGCTTCCTCTGACCCAGTGAGCTGGTCCCCAAGCCCTGTCTCTGCAAGGGTAGCTGGGAATTAAGCCAGGCTGAGTGAGGAAGGTGTAGCATGGGAGTGGGTGAACGGGTGCCTTGTCCTCCGCACCCTGGCTTACCCCCAGACCACAGCAAGGAATGAGACAGGTCATGCCAGGGCAAGAACAAAGCCCATGGCTCATCTTCAAAGAGGAAGAGGCTCAATAATACCTCCCAGCCCAAGATAATGAGAGGAGAGATGCCATGCTGGAGAATTGATGGCAGTAGTTAATTACACAGCTTGGTGAGGAATGGAGAAAAGGAACTGCAGGATGGAGGTGCCATACTGCCCTATGTGCTGGCACTACATTTTTTGATTCAAGCTGAAGTGAATTTCTTCAGCCTCTTCACTCCAGGTACCTGGCATAGTGTAGGCTCCCATCTCTTGTCTGCACTAGCTGCAGAAGGAACAGCCACACAGCAAACCATCCTCTGAGGCCAATGCTACAGCCCTCAGTGCTGAACAGAAAGTGCCTTTGCTCTGTGGAGACCTTTTTGGTGAGCCAAGAGCAAGCCTATCTGTCTTTTCCAGCAAAAGGCAACGGCTGGAGCAGGAGTGCTTTGGAGGGCACACATGTGGTGTTGGCACTGGACTGACACTATCAATGACCCATGAGCTGCACTCAGACAACCAGTGTACCCAAGAGAAAAGCATCCCTGCATAGTCACATCCTGAGATAGCTTTGTAGCGAAGGCAGGCTTGAAGGAGCCTGAGGCTGCCCAGCCGGGGCTGGCGAAAGGAAACAATGCCACCAAGCTGGGATGAGGTGCAGAAGGAGAGTGGGATTTCCTGTGTCGGCATTCATAGAAGTCCCTCAATTGTGTCTGCTCTCAACAGGCAACTGAGGGGCCGGTTGGCTGCTTCCTGCTTTGGAGCAGCCGGGAAGCACATCCAGCTGTGGCCAACAGCTGCACAAATTCCTCCTGCAGCCCCTAGCCTTGGGGATCAAGGATACAGTCTTACTTGTCTGCAATCCCACAGCTCTAGGGCTTGGCCGCTGTTGCCTTCCCACACAGCCCACGGTTCCACAGCCCATTCCCAAGAGGCAGATGGGAATGCAGTGAGTATAGGCACGGATGGCGTTGGTTTGCCAGTATTAGCACCTAGCACGGGTGTGAGGCTCAGATTTAGCTATGGGGTGGGGAGGACAGCACAAAAGGGCTCTACAGGAGTTCTTGGCACTCGTGCCTGGACCAGGCTTTCCATCAACATTGATGGTTTGCTCAGAAATGGAAAGAAACTCATTCACTGAAATCTTCCATAGCATCCCAGAGCTAACCGGGAGCATTTTCTTGAGCAGGACCTGGAGCAACCCTGGGCCAGCAGTTTTTCTGCCAGACAAGGAGGCTATGCCCTGCTTCTCGCACAACAGCACATGGTACCCTGCCCCCGCACCTGCCAGCGGGTCCTCACAATATCCGCCGACTGCGGCATGCTGGCAGACACGGTCGTGCACATGGGCGAGAGCTCGGCAGGGATGTGCATCTCTGCAGCCGGAGGACCGCCGCACACACCCCTTGGAAAAGTCCAGCATCCCAGGTATCAAAGCATCACTGCACTTCGCATCCCCAGAGCCCCATGCTGGACGCTCCACTTCGCATCCCCAAAACCATATGCTCTCCCTGCAGCAGTAACTATGAAAGGGGATTTGGAGTTGCCGTTCAAGGTAGCAAGGAAGAAAATCCTCCGTCCCAAAAAGCAGCATCTAAGCATCATACCCGCACACCCCCACTCCGAGCCGCGACTTGCCCACCGCCTCTCCCCACACTCTGGCGCCTGGTCCTGAGACTGGAACACCCGCCCGCTCCCTCCGAGGGGTCCCGGAGAGAAACCCACGCATCCGGCAGCTTCGAAAATCCGCGAGGAGCGTCGGAGGGAGTCGGGATGGCCAAAAGCTCGGCGACTTTGAGCCAATACCTTGAACGCGGGCGCCTACCGCTGCCCCCCGCTGCCTGCCGGCTCCGGCGCCTTCTGTCCCCGGTGCGGATGGAAAACCACTGCCTCCCTCCCGCTCTGTAAACTCCTCCTCCGCTTTTTTGCCGCCTTCAGTGCCACGCGGTCCCCGCGTGGGAGAGGCAGCGGATTTTCCGACTCCCGCGCCCTCCCCGTTCCCCCTCGCCCCTGGGAGAGAAAGGGTAAGAGGAACCACGACCCCTGCACGGGCAGCCGTGCGCGCCTAAGGCTGAACCCACCTGCGCCGCGCTCTCTGCACCGCCCCGCGTTCTGCTGCCGTCCCTTCTCCCGGCCTTGCCCGCCCCTGGCTCCCCCCCTTTCCGCGCCTACCGTGTCTCCACGCCCCGCAGCTGGCGGGAACCCCCCCCGGCCCCTACCAAAACCCCCCCCCCCCCCCCCCCGTAACTCCGGAGCTGCACCCAGGGCCGGATTTGCTTTAATATCTAGGCATTAGTAAATATTAAAGCTCTAAAGGAGCTGTGCATTAAATCGTAGCTCTAACTGGAGTGTGAACCGGCCCTAATTGCCAGGTCCCTCGCTTGTCCTCCATGCTGCGTTCTAATCCAGACAAAAACCCTCTGCTCGCAATCACCCCTTAAGGGTGTAGTATGTATACATATATATGTATATGGATGCGTGTATATATACACACCTATGGATACACACGTATATAAATATATGGGTGTACACACACCTATACACACATATGTACATGTGTGTATATACATATGTATATATGTAAAACTGTCTTGAATTAGCGATCTAGTGGGTGACATCCTTGCCCATGGCAGGCGGATTGGAACTAGATGATCTTTAAGGTCCCTTCCAACCATTCTGTGATTCTATGAGTAGGATTACAGACAGCCTTTTGCATTGTGTATTCGGGGCGGCACTACCAGGATGGCAGGCAATGTGTAGAGCCCTCTGATCCTTAGCAATTCCCCTATATTCAGAGGATATAAATACCACGTGTATGCCGTATCCAAAGGGCAGGCACAAACTCTAAGATGTGGGTTTTTTGCAGGCTGCCGTCTCCAGGTTCTTATCACTCTGGAATAGATATCTACTCTCCGCTGTGATAAAAGCCTGTTGTTTAGCTTAAGTGTGGACGTGCAGGAGTCCTCAGGGTACTTTGTCCCCCAGTAAAGGGAAGTGCACGGAGTGCACCTGAACTCAAGCTCATATCTGTGCAGTTAAACAGTCACAGAAATATTTTTTTATAAAGCTGGATGTTTAAAGGTTCCTCCACCAGGAACACAGGGCCCTCCTGGCTCTCTCCGTTCACCTCTGCTGTGCGGCCACAGGCAGCAACACCAGGAATTCCCTGCAGCAGCTTTGACCATGAAAACACTTGTTCCATTAATAAACAATCTCGGAAAATTCTCTGCAGATGGCGATCAGTTTGGGTTAGAAATTAAAACCAGAAGTTAAAACACTCCAGAAAGCTCTGGCAGATTCCCATCCTCACGATCTTTCAGCGCAATGATCTCTAACACATGTCTCCCTGCAGAACCCAAGCACCAAGCTTGTATTTTAAGACAAAACATTGCCACGTAAGCAAAAAGTCCTTAAGGTCCAAGAAAAAGGCAATGGGAACAGGGCTGAGACAGCTACCAATGCTTTCTGAGCTGCAACCATGACACTGCGGAGTGTCACCCTCAGGAAGAGACCTCTTCACTGATCTGCCTGGTAACAGACTGCAGCTGGATCTCTCCCACTGTGCTTCTGGTAGATATTTGTCGTGGGCTTCTGGAATCAGCAGGGTGCATTAAAAACATGAAGTGAGCACCAGAAATGTTGTCAGACAGTAAGACAGGAGGCTCTTTTCTTAAATGTAAGATTCATATCAGATAAAATTAAATTTAAAAGCTCTCATCTCCAATTAAAGCTCCTTCTGAATCCCCCAGGCAATGATGGATGCAAGCCCTGGGCCTGCCTTTCCTCAGCCCATTTTTCCTAAGCCATTCTGATCTGAAAGGTCTTCCAGTTAAGCTGCAACAGAGACAAAACCTCTCCTCTGTCCACTTGCCTCACCTTGTCTCTACTCTCCCACCTCCTATCTCCTCTCTCCTCTGCAAAAACCAAATAGAAAAGCAAGGTTGCCTGCTTCAGCATGTCTCACATCACCTCCTCTCTAGCTTTGAGACGTACCACACTGTCACCCACAGAGGCCCTCAAGCCCCCTTGGCAGTCCCTGGGACATGGATGCCATGGCACCTTGTACCCCATGTTTCTTCTCGGGATGTCCACACTTGCTGCTTAGCAGCATGAGCTAAAATTTCAGCATCTCTATAATTTTATTTTTCTACATAAGCTCCAACTTTAGGACAAGCTAAAAGCTGTGAGAACAAATTACCCCAGGAACTTGAGCATAGGGTACAGAGTGGTGGTGCCCAGCCAAAGTGCCACTGTGCTTTCAGAAGCCAGGACAAGGCTCTCTGCATCATTATAGCCTCAGATCCTATCCTTGGGAGGAGAAACACCACAAAATTTACCTTTGAGTAGATATTCCAGGAAGTCTCCACTTCAGGACAGGGTGGGTGTAGCCACTGCCTCACCCCAGGCTTTCAGCAGCAGGGTGCCTAGCACTTACCATCACCAAAGTACAGGATTAAATGTTCTCTAATTCACAGCTCTGGTCCTGTCTGCACAGCTGCTCCCCCAAGCACTGGAATCAACATCCCTCAACAGAGATGTCTCTCACTGGAGACAGGGGGTTTGAAATCCATTAGCACTGAACAGAGTCTCAGCCACCAGTGACCGCAGGCAGACAGGAGGCCAGCAGATGGACCCGAGGGGAGGCGTGGAGAAAGGCAGCTTCCAGCTCTTAAGTACAGCACGGGCTGCTGGCTGTTTTTCTGCACAGACCTGCATGCTCACCCACCACTGACTTGCAGGACAGGGTTTAATGATGTCTTCTTTCAGGCAAGCAGGAGACCAGGAGTGAGCAAGACACTGTGGGGTGAGGAAGGCTAAGGCTGGAAGAGCGTGAGTGTCCTTTGAAATCCAACCCTGGCTGGTGCAGGACAGTAGACATCTCGCTCAGGGTTCTCTTCTCAGGAGAGGCACTTCAGCCCCTCGGGGAGCATGTCTGCTCTCAAGAGCAATGCAGGTCCTTGGGCTGTGTAATGCCAATGGCAGCATGCAGTCGCAGGGGGGTGACACCTCCTCTGCAAGGGAAGGTAACAAATCGCACAGCCAGTGACAACTCATTTATTGCCCCACAAACACGAGCCCTTGCTGCAGGGCCAAGCTGCCTTGCTTCATCTTGATGAAGTGTGTTGCCTTTGCAAAGCCCTCTGCTCCCAAGTGACTCTCATGTTATCATCTTCACCTCTGTGTGTACAAAAACAAACCTCCTAGAAGAAACAAACAGCTACAAAAACAGTTTCTGCTCCAAAACTGGAAACAGCTGTGCTTTGCCCAGCACTGGTACTGGGCCCACCACTGTACAGGACACACAGCTAGATGTTTCTCCCCTGTGTAATTTGGGCAAGGAGAAAAGGCAGCCTTGAGTGGGGCCCGGGGACTTGCTGCATTCCCACCCTCTCCATCTCCAAAACAGCAGCATGGTGCCAAAACACTGCTGCTGTTGGCAGATTGCTGTGCTCCCCAGAGTAAAGGGAGAAGGCAAAACCCTGCTTTCTGGGAGGACGGCAGCCAGCAAAGCCTCTCCCTTACATAAGACTGGGAGTCCCACGTACATGCTTCCCAGGACATGTTGATAGGGCTCAAGCTGCCCAGCCCTTTGAGTTTTCTTCTGAGACCTCAAACGTGCGCTGCAGGAACTTAGTCACTGTCACCTGGAGCCCACAGCTAGTTTGTAACTGGCAGAACAAACAGGCCAAGTGCTAAAGTGCTCTCCCTTCAAAGACACTTGGTGCCAAACCTTTCACAAAAGCTGCTTCCTCCCCCCACCCTTGTAGCAATTGCTTGCTTTAACTAAGCTATGAAATCCAAAAGGGGAAAACAAACAAACAGCTGGTTTGGAAAGCAAGAGCAAAAAGGGAGATTTATTCCAGGCAGTGGATAATGCATCACATGAGCTAAAGGAATATTTTCGGTGCCTCTTGGGCAATATTTGAGTTTTAGGCCCTGAGGAGCGAGCCAGCATTTGCAGGCACTTAGTGTTTCCAGAATCCTTTACACTTGGCACCCACGTCGACCGTTTTCCTTGGAGATTTGCAAGCACTTTGCAACCATACATTAATTAACCCACCATCCCTCCTCTGCAGTGAGATTTCCTTTTCCCTCTAATGTGCCTGTGCCAGAAGCAAGGGAAACTGAGGCATGGTGAGGCCACTGACCTGCAGCAGGGCTGAGGTCAGGGGCTACATGCTGTCCAGTTCTCCTTTGCATTGCAAAACATCCTTCCCTTTGCATGCATGACCCACAGAAGCAGCGTTTCCCTACATCGGGTGCTGCCCACACCATTTCAGAGGAAGGCATGGACAACTCAGCTCACAGAGCCTCTGCGCCACAGAGCAGAGAAACAGAGAGCCAGTGTGTTTAAAAGGCAGGGCAGGCAGGCAGGCAGGAGTGGAGTGGCAAGCAGATTAGTAGCTGTGTCTGATTCTCTGCACGTGTGACAAGGCAGCAGGGCACAGCCATATTGGGAAAGGGGGAGAAGGGGGCATTTTAGTCAGTCACATGGAGGGAAACACAGAAGATGCTGGACCTCTGTCAAGTGCCAGCAGGTTATTAACCTACTAGGCAATGGGGGGAAAAAACCACTACAGGCTCCTGTGAATCGAGTTATACTGAGACTACAATGATCCTGGATTCTTTGATAGTCAAAAAAAGCATCTCAGCCTGTTGCCAAGATCAGCGAATGGCTCAGGGACCATTTTAGTTTGCTATTTCCTTGCTGGTCCTGGCTGAAGAGCTGCTGGCAGACCCTTTTTGAGGGTGGGTGTTCTCTGGTTGCTGCTTGCAGGACTCCTGATAGTAACCCCCCAGGATTTCGTTGCCCTGCCCTGCGTTTCAGGATGAGGTGGCAGGGCAGAGGTGATTCTCACCTGATGGCCTGAGCCTGGCTGGGGAAGGAGTGGGCTGCAATATCCTCCTGAGCTCTACCTGTGGCAGATATCCAGCTGGCACCTCAACGCTTGCAGGGAGCCACGCAGACCTTCAGCACCCCATCGTCCCTCTGCTTCCTCACACAACCCGACCTGCAAGGATAAAGTTAGGCAGCTGCCTGTGATTTCTTCATTACTGGGCTGAGGGCAGCAGGAGCTCGCTGCCAGTAGAGGAGCAGCCCTGGGTGAAAACCTGTAAGGAGAGGCAGGGGAGAGGGAAGCACCTGTTGCCAATCAGCCTCCCCACCTCCCCATGCTAAGCATCCTCCCCATGCTGGTAGCACTGAGATGCAATGGGGTGACACTGCTACTCCTAAAGCACTCACAGCTCCAGTGAGCAAACAGCCAGGAGACATGATAAGGAAGGGCCTCCATTGAGCGCACCTCCAGCCTGGTGGTGGTGGCGGTGGCAGGGCCATGGGTGTTTTCCAGCTGGGCAGGCAGAAACAAAACCCATTGTCCCCTGATTCGGCACAGCTCAGCAAGGGGCCGGGGTGCCCAGAGGGCTCCTGGGGCCTGGCATGGACAATGGGGTCCAGTTAAATTCCAGCCCCGTCTCAGGCTGCTGAAGGTGGTGGTGGGAGTTCCTGGTGCCCAATGGAGCAGCATCATCTTTGGAACGTGGGGCATCTCCCAGCTGGCAGGCTAGGGAGACACAAGCCACCCTGCCCAAGCCACTGCTGAGGGTCTCCCACCCCCACCACCTCCTGGGTGCAATCTTCCCCAGAGCAATCCCTCTCTCCTTCATCTCCATCCCTCTGTCTCCCTCCCTGTACTACTGCTGCTGCTCTCTCCTGAGTCCCAGCTACCCATTTGCTAACTCCTACAAGCATTAAAGCAGTAAATACTGCCTAATGACACCAATTAGCCATGAAGTTGCTTTGTGGCTAGTTACTGAGTGACAGCTGTGTAGCCACCAGCCAAAGGTAAAATGTTACCCCACAGCACACAGTTTCCACCGGCCAGGGCCTGAGCTGAGGCCTGAATAAACTCAAGACACACAGGCCAGGCTCCCAGTCGTACCAGAGGAGACAGGCAGGAACACTCTGTGGCATTCAGAAATGGTACTCCTGGGGCACAGGCCACTCCAAGCACCAGTGTCACTCTGTCATGGTGTCACACCAGGTCTCCTTGGCAGAGGATGGAACTGGCGTGGGTAGAGGGACCCACATTATAGTCAAGGTCATCTGGCCCATTGAAGCAGTGCCGGGGGCACATCCTGCTCCTTAGCCGGCAGCACCAGTCTCCCACAACAGAGCACAACCATTAAGGAAGGAGCTGGCTGGCACTCAGCCACACTCGTAAAACACCACAGGGGAGCTGTGGGCTGCTGGGAATGAGGGAACCTGGCAAGAGGAAGAGAGATAGCAGCCACTGTGTGGTCCTATTACCCCAGTCTGCAAAGCCCATCCACACCCCGGTGGAGCACAGTGCCCAGCAGCTCCCTGGATCTCATCTAAAAGGCAGAAGATGACTTTCTAGAGGATGGGTGAATCCCAGGCTCAAAGGATAGCCTGAAGCCATGGCTCCCCATCAACCTCCCCAAGGCACCTTAGTGGCAGCAGGCAGAGCCATGCTCCGGCTGTCAGAGAGTGCTGCTGCAGCTGGTGGCTGCCCATCCCACATGGCAGTTCAGGGCCAAAGCACCTGCCTGTTCTCCCATCCAGCCTGCTCCCTGGGCAGGCTCTGTGGCCACTGGCACCACGGGGACTATGGCACATGGCCACCTGCAGAGACAAGGGCTCCAAACACAGGCCCAGGAACTCTCACAGCCATGCCAGCCCCGTGTCCGTCCCTGGCCCGACAGTTGCTGGCTGGCGTGGAGGAATTCCGCTCTGTGCAAACGTCTGGCAGGGCTGACTAAATCCTGTCTGGAGACTAAGCCCATCCTGTCATGCTTTCCCCCTTGGGCGAATCAGCGGCAGAGCTGTGGCTGAATGCTCCCAAACATCCTACAGAGAGGTCTCCAGGAAGGCCCTTTCCCACAGCTTCCAACAGTACCAGCCGTTCATCATTTCCTCTCCTTGCCAGTCATGCTTCCACGGATTCCCAAGCCGAGACATGGCCCCCAGGCCACCCGGCAGAACACAGCCATGGGACATCAAAAGAAGAGAGGGCCGAACCCATGACCAGCGGCCCATCTGTTGCGGATCATCCAAGTACCACTGGGACTGCCCTCTCTCCCTTCCTCAGCCCCTCTGCAAAGCTGAGTGTCCACCCGTGGGCAGAGGATGCTCTAACACGGACCAGGAAGGAGGGAACCCCCGGGGGGTCCTGCACCCCTCAGGCATGAGGCTGGGAAACACTGCTGGGAGCCTGCATGCCCCGTGCTCACGCTGCAGGGGCAGCCCGTCAGAGTTCGGCTGTCCCCTGTGGGGGGAGGTTCTGGCTCCTGGCCCCTGCCCGTGCTCGCTGCAGAGCTGCCCGACCCCCGAGGGCTCTGCGGGGACCCCCGCACCCACCGTGCCCGTGCTGCCCCCTGCCGGCGGCGCGGGGCAGCCGTGGGCCCCCTCCCCTCCCGTGACCGGCCAGCACGGGGAGCCCACGGGGAAGGAATTAGCCGGCCCGCGGGCTTAAGCGGCTCCGCGGAATGCGGGAGGGAGTGTGGGAAAGCGGAGGAGGGCAGGGGGGAGGGCAGCAGCGGTGTTCTCCCAGCTGTGGGGAGCTGATGGCTGCTGGGAGAGGGTCCGGCATTCTGGGTAGGGAGGCATCCCACGCGACCCCTCGGGCTAGGGAAGGACGGGCACAGGCCTGAGCGCTGGGTTCACTGTGAGGATGAGGAAGCAGTGAGCTGCAGCAGGGGGATGGGGGCATCACCAACACTGGGAGCCAAGTGAGCAAAGTGGGACAAGGCAACCCAAAGTGTGAGCTTGTTGTGTGCTAACCCATGTGGGGAGCAGGGATGAGCATGAGCCAGGAAATCTGGGAGTAAGCAGGGAAGTCTGAGGACAGAAGCTCAAGCTGTTTGTTTGAAGGCAGTTTAAAGGAGCAGGGCAGAGTTTGCTTGTAGGTAACATACTGTGCAGAAGGGCGTGGATAATGTTAAGAAGCAGATTTCAGGGGCAGGGTGGATCACATGAAGATACAAGACAGTGACAGTTACCCTGAACACAATACCTGTCCTCTAGGGCTGTGCTTGCTGCTCAGCTGTGGGCCACAGAGAAAGGGGTCCTGGCTGGTCCTCTGAGAACCCTGAATCTCATAGTGATGGGATGGGATGGGATGGGGAAAGGCATGAGGTGCATCTCCTCAGCATAGCTTACTTCTCAAAAGGCAGCTTGCCAGCTTCTTCCCTTGGTCCTGGGCTATAAGGCATCCAGGAACACCTTTGTGCCACTGGCCAAGTGCTTCAGGGACAAGAGGGGTTCCTGTCACTACCTTTCCAGGGGCTCATGGCCTCAGGCTGACTCCATACTCAGCTGATAGGGACTCAGTCTCTGGGGAAACAGCTTGCTCTTCTAACACTGCTGCCCAGACACAGTAAATCTTCTTTCTGGCAAGCCAGAAAACAAAAGTCAGCCCTGGCTACAGTAGCTGGCTTCCTGAAAAGACCCCAGTCTGAGGAGAAGCTGCAGACAACCTACTTCCTGTCTTCTGCACTTTCCCCACAGAATCTGCCACCTCCAGAGGTTGCAAACAGGTGGAAAAGTCTCACCTGTTTTTTGCTAGTGCTGTGTCCCGGGATTGAAGAGCTGGGAAGCTTCACAGCAGAGGCTGCTGCTGGCCCTGCTGCTGCTGGCCCTGCTTTGTATCTGCAGTCATGATGGTGCTGGGCTCCCTGCAAAAAGCCAGGCTTCTCAAGAAGAAAAAGAGCTCCACAAAAGCCTAGCTGCCCAGAGAGCCCTGGAGTGGCTTGTTGCTGATGGTAGCTCAGGGGCTGCCCGCTCTGATGCAGGACAGGCTGCTCTGCCACTGCTGCCTGCATCTTCCATCGTGCTGCTCCCAGTGCCATCCAGCTTGCCTTCAGGGATGCTCCAGCCACTCCTGGCAGGGAGTGGGGGGCTTCTTGTATGTCTGTACGTGAGATAGCTGCTGCAGCGCAAGCGGGCCAGCAGCAGCACGTGGCTGTTCTCCTCCACCACATCCTCCATCATCTTCCTGCACAAGACTGAGGACCATGACAGATGAGTTTCACTATCTCCTATCAGCCAGCTATGCCAGTTTCCCTCACTTTCTGCATTTGCCCATCCGTTGCAGCCCCTACAGCACCCAGTTCCCCTCCAAGACAGCACCAGGGCAGTGAAGGGATAAGGAGAACAAGCAGCAATGGGGACCCTGTTTTCTCACCTCTTGCATTAAGACCTTTACCGGGACAGCAGAGCAGTGCCCTGACCTGGAGAGGCACCACGGATGTGGGGTCAAGGGCCATGCCACAAACCCTACTCTGCCTGCACCTTCATCTCTCTCTCCTCTGCACACAAGGTCAGGGTCCTACAAACAAGCCTGAGGCTATGCCTTGGATTCTGAGGGCAGCCAGGACCTTTGCACTGGGCCAAATCACGCTGAGGGCAGCCAGGAATGGTGCCTGGGGAGAAAGGAGCTGCATGGCGAAAGGTGCAAGGGCAGAGGGCAAGCTCCCAGCGGTCAGCCTACAAATAGAAAGGGTCATGGGAGAGTGCCCAGCTACTGGGACAAAGGGCCTGTGAGAGGCAAATGGGGCTGCAGAAGAAGCTCTGGCAGAGAGGCAAGCGGTGGCACAGCCCCAGGGCCTCCAGGAACGTGGAAGGCTCGCTGGCAGTGTTCCCTGTGGTTGCAGGCACCCCCGGGGCCATACAGGAACATACGTGACTGTCAGGGCAGGGAGGAAGCCAGTGCTCACGGAAGGCTGGGACTGACACAGGAAGGCGATGGGGCCGTAAGCAGTGGCAGCGTCAGCCCTGGAGTGACATCCCCACGGGCAGAGTAACCAAACACCACTCCCAGCTGCCTGTGCTGGGGGATGGATGGGGAGAGGCCTTTACTGTCCCGTGGCACTGTGCTCTTGGGACGAGCCCCCTGCCCAGCCCCGCGGGCGTCCCGCAGAGGGAGGGGAAGGGAAAGCAGCAGCACCCAGCACCAGCAGGAGCGGGGCCGAGCGTGCCGGGGCCAGAGACCCAGTGAGATAGCCTGCCAGCCCCTCAGTCCCGGCTGCCCCGCACGGCTGCGGGACGGCTGCCAGGGCTTCCCCGAGCGCTGCCGCCGCCGCTGCCGGGGTTCCTGGTCCGCCCCAGCACCCACCCGCTCCCGTGGCAGCCTGGGCTCCGCCGCGTCGCTTACATGTTCCCCCGAGAGCTGCCGGCTCCTTCCCACGGCGCCGCCGCCGGCACGGTCCCGTCCCGCAGTGCCCGGTGCCAGCAGCGCCGGCCGCGGCACGCCGGGTCCTAGCGCTGCCCGCCGCGCCAAGGGCACCTCGCGGGCGGGCTGGGACAGCCCGCAGCTTCGGGGCCACCGGCACCGCAGCTCGGTGTTCTTACCCCTCGCACCCCGCTCTGCCCCGCTGCCCGCAGCTGCAGCGTCCGCACCAGCGAGAGGGATGCTGCAGCGGTCGCCGCGCTGCCGCAGCCCCGGCAGAGGAATGGCCGGTGCTACGGCTTTTCCCAGTGCTTTCCCACCTGCTGGAGCAGGCAGCTGGCCCTCCTGCCCCGGGGGTCCCTGCCCCGGGAGGGGAGCATCGCCGTGCTGCCAGTTTGCCCAGGCAAGGAGGGCAGGTGCTGGCAGCCAGTCCCGCCAATGCTGCTCCCCCTTTTGCTACCCCCTGCACCGGCGCCAGGCTCCGAACCCTCCTTGCAGCTATGGGACTGGAAAGCACCAATCTCAGACTGGAGGCAGTGTGAGATGGCTACAGAGCTCAGCAGAGGCCCCCAGCTGCAGGGTGACCTTGCAGCAGGACTGCCGAGCAGCCACAATGCAGGACAAGACCTTGGCTCAGTGGAGGGGATTGGAGCCAGACCCCTTTCCTGGTACCCAGGGAAATGAGGCACAGTAGGGACAGTGCATGCTCTGCTCACCTCCCTGCCTGCACCCTGCCCTTACCTCGATGGCTCAGCTCTCCTGGTGCCAGATGATGCAGCCTGCAATCTCCTCGCTGCCTGGTGCCAATCAGGGTTGGGGTTTCCCAGAAGAGCAGCAGAACCAGGGTGCGGAGGCTTTGCCACCCCACAGGCTCTGCAGCTGGAGTGGGTTTCAGAGCCCTGGGGCTGGCTGGGGCTGGCTGAGCACGGCTTCTGCTGGCTTAGCAGGTGGAGGCTGCATGCACGGGCAGATTAGTGGGGGGGGGGGGAATTGGCTTCTGCCATAGAACTTCAAACGGGATTCGTCAGAGCGTTGCAGTGGGGCCAAGTGCCAGCAAAGGGAAGGAGAGAGGGACGCCTGTGGGTGGACAGCCACCCTGGGGGGACAATGCAGGCTGTACAAGGGGAGCACTGAGAGCAGTGCTGCAGATGCCAACATCATCCCTGGGATGGGGTCATCTCTCTGGTGGCCCATGTCACTCCATGCTGCTGTGTGGACTCGGGCCATGGTGGTACACTTGCTGAGCTCCCACCCCATCATTGGTCAGCATCGACCCCCTGGGGCCAGCAGGGGGGCCTTCAGTAGAGCACCCTGCACCCACTGCCCCCTCTGCTGGGCCCCTCAGCTGCTCAGGAATGAACTGGCACCAGCTCACCAGCTGCTCTCCTGGTATGTGCGGCCGGAGCCGGAATGCTGTGTCTTGGCCTCCTCCCTGGCCTGGCCAGGCCTGGCCCCTGCCCAGACCTCCCATCCCACTCATCTCTTCCCATTAAGGAAGTACAGGCAGCTGAGCTTTGGTGTTGGAGGAAAACAGGTGTCAGAGCCAAGAGTGATGGAGCCAAGTGGAGGGTGGGAAGGCACAGGGGAAGCACAGAAAGCATACTCCTGCCCACACAGCAGCACTCTCACCAGCATTTCTTCCCACACCTCACTGGGAGCATGGAGACAGCCCCTCTGCTGGTGATACTGGTGTGCCCACCTCCACCTTGCTGCCTGTCCCCAGGCCCAGGAACACTGCATGAGGGAGATGGAGTGGCGGGAGCATTTCTCCTCTCCCAGCCCTTACTGCAGAGCTGGGCTGCAGCCAGCACTTCTATTTTAAGCCCCACAATGTGTTTGAGGAGGCGAGCAGTGTGCACGGCTGATCTTCGCAGCCTGCCAGGGAGAGGCCCTGCTACCCATGTCCCTGGAAACTTCCTCTTCTCCCCCCAGGGCTGGTACATGCTCAAGGCAGGTTGTACCAGCTGCTCTTTCCCCTTCCCAGTACAGGCAGGAACTGGGGCAGCCAAAACCAGCATGGCCTGGTGCAATTACTTCAAAAATGTCTGGACTGCAGGAAGCCCTGAAGGTCCAGCCACACTTCCCTGGCTCCCTCCATGGCACAGAGCATTCACCTGCTGTGACCTGGCTGGCAGCCATTCTGCGAGAGAGGAAGGCTGGACAGGCCTGGCAGGGCTGTGCAGGCAGCAGGATTTACTCTGTAGGTAGCGATTTCCCTGCCGAGCTCCCATGACAGGGAAAAGGGGCCTAGGTACCCTGTACGATTAGCTGGGCTGGATGCAGGCACAGAGGAATCACAGGACAAAGCATCTTTGTGAGAGACACCAGACAGCTCAAGCTTCTTCCCAAGCAAGACTAAAGCTCACTGCAGGGCCCTTCTGATCTGAAGTTCCCCCCCTTCCTTAGCAAGGACCACCTTGCAGAGCCCCTTTCCTCCTGTGCAGAGGGGTGCTGCTGGATGAACGAGCTCCCAGACTAAGCGGCTGTTTATTTTTTAATAAAAACAATCATTCCTCCCCCTCCACTTGTGCTGTGTGTCATCAGGATGCCTGGGGAGTCAGTGGCACTCAGAGAGAGCACTGGGCAGGAGGGGTGCTCAGCACCAGGCTGAGGCCAGGGGTTGTGGTGGCTGGGGCACAGTGCAGCCCTGGGGCTGGCTGAAGTGGAGCTGCTTGACACAGCCTCTCTCCTGTGAGGAGGCAGTGAGCTGTGAACTGGTGCTGGGAGCAGAGACCATGCCAGGATGGTACCCAGAGAAGGATAAAAGGCAGGCTAGGACCTTTTTCCCCTGTGGCTGGGGCTCACTCTTTCTTCCCAAAGAACTTCTTGAAAACAGATTTGTTCTTGGGGCGAAGGGGGCTGGTGGTCTTCTCTCCTAGCGTGTCCTGGGGGCTCCCTGTTTGGGCCACAAAGGAATGACAGCGTGCCCGGGGCATAGCTGGCACTTGCTCCCCTATGTACAGGGTGACTGAGTAGCTGCTCCCGGCCTCCACTGGCTCCTTGGGCATGACCACTGGGGTGATCTTCTGGTAGGTCGCTGCAAGAAGGAGCAGTCAGTGGGGAGGGCAGGGTGCCAGCAGGCCCTGTCAGCCCCTCAGAGCCCTCCCCAGGTGAGGGGCTGCAGCCCAGGGCACAGGTATGTAGGATTGGGTGGGTGCTGGAGCAGCATCGCATCTGCCCTTGGCTGTCTGTGAGGACAGAGGCACTGGTGCCATCTCCTGGTAGTGACAGTGAAACCAGAGCCATACCTGAGGTGAAGGAATAGGACCTCCTCTTGTTGGTCACCAGCCCATAGTCATCTTCTTGGCAGATGTTGTCCCACAGCCTGGGTGACCCCCTGGGTAACCACTGCTGCTCCTTGTGCCCAGCCCCCTGAGCATCCTCTGAAGCAGAATGGAGACATGTCACAAGGCAAAGCCTCCACAGGACACCACTCTGTCAGCCCCAAAGAGGACAGGGAAATGTATTATTATCTCATTATCCCAGGAAGCGAAGGGAAGTAACTGGTCCTTTCCCCAAGCCCTACACCCTGAGACTGCTAGCCCAGATACCACTAAGTTCAAGACTGACTGACAGCCTTCAGCCTCCACCAGTTGGCTACCTCCTC